CTGACTGGCTTATTTCACTTAGCATAATGCTTTCCAGTTCCATCCATGCTGTTGCAAATGGTAAGAACTCCTTTTTTACCGCAGCGTAGTATTCCATTGAATACAGCAGTGTTTAATTAGTGTTTACATTATTATGACTATGCAGATATTGTTCATTTTTACCGGTGTGGCTCAGTGGTTGAGCATCAAGTAGTCACTTTGATTTTCTCTCTCTCTCTTGGAAACTTCCCAGCTCAGCCCCCATCCTCTGGGACTGGCTGTTCTCGGAGCCCCTGGGATACTGGGAGCTCCCTCACTGCCAGCCTGGGAATGCCTGGACTCCTGTTCTTTGGATTCCATGCTTTCTCACTCCTTGGTTTTGCTGGAGCACAGCTTCCCGAGAAAAGGCACAAAGAGAGCAGGGTTATCCGGCAGCTTACAAAGCTCATAGGCCCCTGGGAGGGTTGACAGCTGCTGCCAGGTGTTGGGTGGGGAAGAAAAGCCAGGTTGCCACCAAGAAGTTCTAAAAGAAGCATTTTTGGTAAATTTCCTAAAAAGATTTTAAAAGAGTCCTGAACCTCCGGGGCTCCGATTTCTTGTGATTTCTTTTCTCAGTCTGAATAAATATTCAATTTCACACCAATTTTGTTATTTGCAATTTTATGATTTTTTTCATAAAGATTGCTCCCCAAATTATATAGAAGTCAGGCCCCACAGGACATGGCTGCTTTTTGAGACATTACGCATTTAAGATGTACGTTTTCTTCCTTCGCACTTGGCGGATGGTGTCTAAAAGAAGCATTTTTGGTAAATTTCCTAAAGAGATTTTAAAAGAGTCCTGAACCTCCATGGCTCCGATTTCTTGTGATTTCTTTTCTCAATCTGAATAAATATTCACTCACACCAATTTTGTTATTTGCAATTTTATGATTTTTTTTTCATAAAGATTGCTCCCCAAATTATATAGAAGTCAGGCCCCACAGGACATGGCTGCTTTTTGAGACATTACGCATTTAAGATGTACGTTTTCTTCCTTCGCACTTGGCGGATGGTGGCTGGATAGAGGGTATTAACTGGAAATAGCTTCCTCTCAATTTTGAAATCACTGTTCCATTTTCTCCCGCCTCCTTGGAGTGCTGTTGAGGTAATGCCATTCTGACTTCTGGTCCCTTGGATTTTGTTTTAATCTCTGGGAGTTTGTAGGGTTTTCTTTCCTATATATATATTCCTCCTGTTCTGATATTTCACCACGTCATTAATTACTGATAGGATGTGTTTGTTTGTTTGTTTCGGTCATTGTTCCAGGTACTTTCAAGTCCTTTTCCATCTAAAAATCATACCCTGCAGTTCTGGGTGGTTTTCTTGTTACATCATTTCCTCTGGCCTGTTTTTCTGAAATATGAATTACTTAGAAATTGGGTCTCTTGGATCCGCCCTCTGAGTTGCTTATCTTTCCCCAAGTTCAAAGCTGTCTCCTGTCTTTCAGTTCTAATAAATCTCCCAGGCCCTCCTATGAAATTTTTCTACTTCTACCATGATATGTGTAATTCCCAAAGGCTTTTACTTGGGTACGGAACCTTCTACATGTTTTGTTTTATGGCATCCTGTTTCTATTTCACAGATACAATATCTTCTCAGATTTCTCTGAGAATATTAACCTGGTACTTTTTCTACACTTTTAAGTTTTCATTAGCTGCCTACAGCGTCTGTTTATTTTCAAAACCTCTCTGTTATTTTTGGTTCTGCCTTTTATGTGGGGAGCTTAAGGATGTCCAAGTTTAAGGATGGTATACTAAAAATAAGAATGGCATACGAAAATGCAATCTTGGGGTGTTTGTAGAGTGGTAAGCTTCATTGCAGGTTGATCAGGCAGAGCACGGTTTTTGCTGGCTTATCGTTATGTCTCCAGCAGCTTCCTAGTATAATCAGTTTTTCATTAAAAGGCCCTATCTCTAGCCCGGCCAGTGTGGCTCAGTGGTTGAGCATTGACCTATGAACCAGAAGGTCATGGTTCAGTTCACAGTCAGGGCATATGCCCAGCTTGTAGGCTCGATCCCCAGTGTGGAGCGTGTAGGCGGCAGCCAATCAATGATTCTCTCTCATCATTGATGTTTCCATCTCTCTCGCTCCCTCTCCCTTCCTCTCTGAAATCAATACAAATATATATTTTTTAAAAAAGAAAGGCCCTTTAATCAATAAAGAATTTTAAAATGGCCCTATTTGAGGCAGCCAGTCAATGATTCTATCTCATCATTGATGTTTCTATATCTCTCTCCCTTTCTCTCTGAAATAAATATATATATTTAAATAAAAAGATTCTAGGGCAGTGTACATATGTACAAATAATTGTTTTGGAGTAAGCATTTCCAAAACATGCATTCCCCACCCAGAATGAAATACTTAGGGACCCAGAATGAACCAGGGGCTTGGAAGAAGCTCCACTCATGCCAGTGTTTGTCCTAAAAGGCTGTTTCGGAGAAGATTTCGTTGAGATGGAAAAGCATAATTCGCTTGGTAATCTTTCTTTAGGAGGCTTTCCTG